GGAAGGGCGCATGGATGCAGAAGAACCGCAGACCAAGGGCCGCAGGACAAAAAGGATGTCCCGTTCCACAGGGGAGGGGGGAACATCTATCAATATGCCTGTGGAATTGTAAAAACATGAACCAAGGGGGGGGGGCATGCATTTATATGCTGACTTTGCTAACCCCGTGTATGGACCAGTACTGCCTTCACATCTGGTGTATAATTCGTTTTTTGCTTGGCTGTTCGTGTCACATGCGGGCGCATCAGAGGGTATCCATGGGCATTACAACATGGTGCAGCCTCACATTCACAAAGGCGCATAACACTAGATTCGGTTAAAGATGCCCTGGAACCATGGTGAACTGGGAGACACGGGACAACTTGAGGAAATCATCAGGCCGGTTTGAGGCGAGGATGTGTGCATAAAAGCATATGAGGATGCATGCAGCTGTGTTTCTATGCTTGTGTATTATGGCTTGTGTATTATGGAACGCTCCACTGGTAATCTTGAGGTATTTTTTGGTCTTTGCCGAAGCAGCATAGCTGGATTTCGATTCGTTGTAGTGCCCTGGTGGACATTACAGAACGTTCTCAGGAGCATGTGTACTTCTGCATATTTCTGCAGCCTGCACTGTCACGCCTACCATCCAGTACTGGTCCTGTGTGCTTGTGGGTGTATGTGTGTGATATGTTTGTTCGTGCGAGGAACAGCATGAAGGCTACACAAACAGTACGTACATACATACATACATACATACATGCATGCGTGCATGCATGCATACATACGATAGGAACAGATGGACAGCATCAAAACCTGTATGGAGTTAGCTTGGCAGACACTACTTGTGTGTCGTGCTTCTGTTCAACAACGATGCCTGGGTCCCGAGCCTAGGATCCTAAATGCAAGCCTGTCATGGCCTCTTGGTTAAACCCCAAACCCTAAACCCTAAAGCCTACACCCTAAACCCCTAAACCCTAAACCTAAACCCTGAACCCTAAACCCTAACACCTAAACCCTAAACCCTGCAAGCGCTATACCCTAAACCCTAGAGCCCTAACCCTGTCAGAGGCCCCTCGGCTTTCCCCACGGCATCACCTTCGGAGCAAACTTCATCCAGATCGGCAACTTCCGCTTGGCAGCGCTGGACAACGACCACTTCTCAATCTCTCATAAGAATCTGGGTCCGACCATTAAAGGTTTAAGGGTTCCGGGTTTAGGGTTTAGGGGTTTAGGGGTTTAGGGGTTCAGGGCTTCGGGGTTTAGGGGGTTAGAGTTTAGGGTTAGGGTTTAGGAGCGTAGGGTTTAAGGGTCTTCGGAGGTTAGGGTCTACTGCAGGTCGCACGTTCGAGCTTCTGATCGGCGTCGGGGCTTCCATCATGGTCAGACAATGCAGATCTGGCGAAGCAACAGTGCCCAGGTGGAAATATGGTTCCTATCGAAGTACCTATTCAGTCTTATTCATAAAAACTCCGACGCCCTAAACCCTAAAATAACAACCCTAAACTTGGCCCTAACCCTAAACCCCAAAACCCTAAAACCCTAAACCCCAAAACCCTAAACCCATAATCCCTAAACCCAGGTGTGCACGACAAGAGCGTGCACCCGGGGCCCCGAACCGACTGGAATGCCTGGCACGGCGACCGGGCCGTCACCGCTGGCCCTGCAGGTGTCGGGCACCGAGCTTGCAGCGAAGCATTTTGAGTTTAGGGTTTAGGGTTTAGGTTTCAGGGCAACGTATGTATACCTGCAACAGATTTAGATGGATTAAGATATTCGAAGATGCTCTTTTTGGCAGAGATGCCTGGCTTGTTGATGGTTTCGCCGTTGTGACCCTAAGCCCTAAACCTTAAACCCTCAACTTAGGTACGGGGACCGGTATTTGCAAATTGGCAACTTCAGAATCGGGGTCCCAGACGATGCAGACCACTGGTTGTACATGACCCGCACCGACGACGGTGATGGCAGGGTCATTCAGGTCGCTGGGTGCTAGTTTCGCAGCGACCTTTCTGGTTTTATCGTTTGCGTGTTTTCCGTCTCTGGTTGGTAAAGCAAGGACTTGCGGTTCCCCCGGGACGCGAAGCTCTAAAGCCTAGATGCAAACCGTGTCCAGGGCTGGCACAAAGATGGCTCCGTCAATACCCATGGTCAGCGCCGGCGCCAGTTTTCACCGACAGCTAACCTGAACCGTCGACAAATACAGTGGCACTGTGGCAACATCCAGAAGCTTAGCTTTTAAAGGGCTGCAAGCAGAGGGGATGCCGGGATCCGGAATTGCGAATTGCCCTGGCCTTCATCAGTCGGGCTATGAACAAGGTTCAGGGTTTAGGGCTTCAGCCTTGCACCTTGAACCAGCGCAGACTCACGCCAACTCCTGCAATCGCTAGGTCCAGACCCCCGAAACCTCGTCTTTAAAGATCCTAACCCATAGATCCCTAAACCGCTAAACCCTTGAACCCTAAACCCCAAAGCCTAAACCCTTTACCGTGAACCCCTAAACCCTCACCAAGGGCGAAGCTGGGCTCTTGCAGTGGGATCACCGCAGGAGAAGTTTCCCAAAGATCCAATTTAGTACAGGGTTGAGGGTTCAGGGGTGTAGGGTTTAGGGTAGCAGAGCGTGAGAAGTGCTGTGGCGCTTGGGTGGAGGGCGTTTCCGTGGTGTCAAGGCGCATGGCTCTGCATGTTTCAGGGTTGATGTTTGGAGGGTTTCCTTCCAGGGGAAGGTGCTGAACCGCAGGTCCCGGCTTCATCCAGTTCGGGGACTGGCGTCTGGCTGCTTTTAGCTATGACTACTTCTCCATCTCGCACCGTTCCAGAAATACCGCCTGGACCCTCGAGCTGATTCGAATTCAGGGTTGATCGTTTTGGCCTTTTAAAGGAGGCTGTGACTTTTGAGAGACTCTTGGAGCTAGCAGTTATGAAAAAGACATGGGCTCATTGCCTGAGTTGCAAGTGAGGCGATTCAAGCGGGATGGGACGCATTGGGCAACAGCTCACCAAAATCATAACGGTTGGGACGAGCACGAGGCCGGGTATGTGCCTGCGGGGGATGTACAGGAGGTGAAGATCGGAGATCGTTTCATCGAGTTCGGCAAGTTCCTGGGCTCTTGTTAGGTGGCTTCATAGTTACTTAAGGGACCCGTAATAAGAAAACCATTTTGTTTGCTATACATACATCATTCGCGAAAGGTGCCTAGTACGGTAACTTAAGGAAAATTTCTTATCAAGAACCCAGGTTCTGGCGGCTGGGCGAAGTAAGCGAAGACAAGCTCTCCATCTCTCATTCTAGTGGCCACACTGCCTATGTTTGGCAAAAGAACGGCCACGTGCTAGGCGGGCCTCGCACTGATAACAACCTCTTCAACCGTCGCACGACGACTGAGCCCACGGGGGTTACTTTCGGTGATCGCTTCGTGCAGATCGGCCACTTCCGAATTGGGGATGTGGACGGGTGGCACTTCTCCATCTCGCATGTGAACAGCGGCCTGACCGCGCAGATTTTCACAGGAGATGGACTTCACATTTTGAGCCTCTCTAAATCACCCTACATACACAGTACCAGAGCCCTGAAGCAGCCGCAGGAAACGGACACGTCCACAACGGCAACGGGCATCGGAGAGATTGGCAGACAACGGGTCGTCCGCTGCAAGATTGCAAGATTTTCCCGGAAAAGCCTCATCTGTTCAGCTTCGATACGTTGTATGCCTTCTACAGCCCGGTGCACAAGCGCTACCTACAGCTGCATCCTGGCATTGAAAACAAATTGCATGACCATGGCCCCGAAGCGCTAGAAGCAGTTTAGGGTTTAGGGTTGCAGCCTGCCGCACGAGGACTAATGGTGCAGACATGGCCTCCGTGAAGGTCGACAGTGGGCCCAGTGACTTGCCCTACTGGCGGGCCTTCGAGCGCTTCTCGGTCGTGGACGCCGGCAACGGCCTCGTCGCGCTGCACAATGCCAGGAACAACAGGTTCATGAAGATGAGCCACGGTGACATGACGGCGTCTCCTATCAAGCCTGCGAATCGGCTACCCGCCAGCGGCTGGTACAGCGAGTACTTTCAAATCGTCGATGCTGGCGATGGGATGGTGGGACTCCACAACCCCTATTTCAACCGTTTCGTGCAAATGCAAAGCAACGGCCATGTTCAAGCCACAGGTGGCAGGAATGCCCGGGACTTGAAACATAATAAGGGTTGGACATTTGAGAGATTCTACATGGTGCCCGTGAAGAATTATCTTCAGCCGGGAGCCTGGGTGGGCTTGCGCCTGGGATGACTTCTTCAATGTTTCGGTTACGTTTAGAGTTTAGGGTTTTAGGGTTTTAGGGTTTCAGGGTTTAGGGTTTAGGGCTGAAGTTTCGCTGTAGACAGCTCACTCATGGGATGCTCGGAACCGCCGAGGTTCAATCCAACTGCCAAGCGTTTCCTCCACATGCACGGCTCCGGCATGGGGTGCAGCGGTCAATTTCATCTCTTCGCCGTCCTGCAGGATTGGAATACATACGAGCGATTCAGGGTGGTTGATGCTGGCAATGGCATGGTTGCACTGCACAACCACATTTTCAATCGCTACTTTGTCATAGTTGGAAACCCTACACCCCAAACCCTACACCCCCTAAACTCCCTAAACTCCCTAGACTTCTATAATTAGGCTCCTATAACGGTAACTAGCCACCTGAAAATGTCCTAGACCCAAACCCGAACCCTTAAAGGAACCCAGTAACTTAGACCGATCCCAACCACGGGACTATAGGCTACGTGAGCATGATATGGAATGGCCAAGCTCATGTGATGACCCGAAGCTCGGCCTCTCCCGACGACGCTCGCGCGCAGTGTGATCGAGACTCAGGGTTTAGGGTTTAGGATTTAGGGTTTAGGGTTTAGGATTTAGGGTTTAGGATTTAGGGTTTAGGGTTTAGGATTTAGGGTTTAGGGTTTAGGGTTTAGGCTTTAGGATTCAGCAGCTCCCGGCTCGAGCAGTTTTAAAGATGAGTTGTATTCACGGTTTAGACA